GATAAATCACTTTTCTGTAATACATCACTGATATTTCAATGGAATAAATTACTTACTGACGTATTCATACTTAAAAAAACAGCATCAATAAGTGATTAACATAGGGGGGATCAAAATAAAATAAATAAATAAAATAAAAATCAACCAGCCACCCTCCTCCTCTCATAAGTTAAGAACAGTCCCTAAAGTGCGGTGAGGTTTGTGGACCGTTACCTGCCACAAAGAGAGAAATGTGAATGGCTCGTTTCTCCTCTGACACATCACATACCTGTGTGCCGCCACGGCTCGGTTGTTCAGGTATTTCTGGGCAGTCACGACACAAACAAAGAGGAAAGTTTTGGACGTGGAGCAGGACTTCTCCGTCGCCTATAAGCCATTATCTTGCACCGCGGAGCACTATGGCCTCCAATAACGGAGGCTCCGCCGTATTCCTGTCAAATACGGCGGAGCCTCCATTATTGGACGGCACATGGACACTCACCCTCTTGTGATTGGACTTTGAACTTATCCCACAGTAGTGGTACCTGAGGTACCGTAGTACTACGGTACTCCAACATTATGGTATCATATGTACCGTGGTGTTTAAGTACCATGGTCTACCGTTGGTACCAGTCTATCATGCAACACTAATATAGAAGAGTAAAAACTTTCATTGTTTGCCTCTGAATTGTAGTAGATCAGAAGTATAATAAAGTAATTAACACAAAGTGGAAATACAGAAAAAAAAATTACAAGTACCTTAAAGTGTGCAGTATTTGAGTAAAGGTGCTCAGTTACTTTCCTCCAGTGGGTCCTCAGTATAATGTGCGTGCCCTCAGAGGAACATTTGGAATTACTCAGTTATTTCCATGCAGACGGCTTCAGCTAATCAATGAATTTTTAAGTGCCGTAGAGGCATCTTACACTGGGACTTGGCACCTTAGTGTAACAATTATTGCTTATTAATTAATCGTGTTTAGAGCATTTTAATGAACGTCAAGGTTAAGTTCACACCCCAGTGCTATAATTTAATGATGACCGAGTTCCCGGTATTAAGCCTGTTTTTATTTTATTTATTTATTTTTTTCGTTTTAAATAACCCACTTTATTTTTGACACACTCATGCATTAAAATCTGAGGCTTTGAGGAGATTTTATACTTATCAGAGAGTGCCAAAATTATTGGGATTATAAAAGCGCACTCTGTTTGCGATTACTGCATGGCACGCTGAAACAGCCCCATCATGAACATGAAACTGAAACATGAATCACAGCTGAGAGGATGAAGAGGCCATAACATTTTATTGATTTACAGGATGTAATGTTCGACGATTTGTTGGGAGCTAGTTTCCAGTCCTGTGTACTAAATAAAAATATCCCACTAGGGTTTTTTGTTTTTGTTTTATACACTCCGTTAATGCATATAAATGTGATTAATGTCCATGGGAAGCCAATTATGTTTTTATTTTTGTGACTATAAACTACTCAGATGCCCGTTTTTATTTTTAAATTAAGCCTAATTAATGCAGAAAATCCATCACTTGTTTTTCTTGATAAATGTAGAACCCCAGTCTTCACTGAGTAGCTCTGCTGTGTTAAATACTTTGCTGAGGGGCTCCTCAACAGTAGGTTTCCAGTCGTAGACCCATGTGTCTGGCATGCAGTTAGCCAGCTAGTGTTCCCCACAGACTTCAACCAATCTGTGTGTGCTGAGAGGCGTGATGGAGTTATGAGCTGAGCTGAGGGCAGCGGGTGATGATGGACGAGCTGCTGACAGCTCAAGGCTTCGGTGATGTGTGTCTCAACCACCCAGTAAATGGAGAGCTACCAGCCTAGGTCCAGTGATCATTTCTTAACCCATGACTGAATCCATACATGAGAGGAAAGGAAATATCAGGCAGCTCTGTTGGAGTAGTTCACTCACAAATTTATGTCTCTTAAGAAAGGAGATCAACACTGTTTTTGTATCATTTTAAGCAGTTGATCTTCTGTATGCACAACACTGAGTCATATGTTTGCTGATAAGCCAAGTAGTCGTAATAGAATTTACTAGATTGTCTTGTGGGATCTGTTTGCACACTGAAACTCGGTTGTTTGTTGATTAAACGCAGAACATGCAAGAGAGAGTTTTACGTTCGTCGGCCAGAACGCAGCACAAATGCAATTTATATTCAAACCAGTGGCATAACAGTTATTCTCCATTAAGCAAACGATCAAACGAGGCTTAGTCATGACACAACGCTCTTTCTTTTTAACTTTCTCTTGCATTCATTCACTTAAGTAAGTTTAATCTCATCAAAACAAACCAAGCATATTAGCTTCAATTAGGTAAATCTCCCATTTCAGATTCACAGAGAGCTTTCTTCCTCTCTTGGCAAAGCGTAGCTAAGAGCCATTATTGAAGATTCATTACAAATCCCCCCCCCGCTCCAGTAAAGTATAATAAGATATATAAAAAATATACAGTAAGATAAATGACGCAACTCCCTCGCTTCCCCGTTCTGCATTGCCGCAGTAAGACTCTGTTGTAACCTCTGAGGTCCCACATTCAATTAACTTAATCAATGTTAGTTCTGGGCACAGTGACATTAATCTTGGGGAATAAATGAAAATGACAGTGGGCTGTAAAACCCTGATGAATATATATATTTTTATAAATGATTACCAAATGTATTTTATTTTATGTTCGGATCACACAAGCCCCTTGCCAAAACATCACTTTACTATGATTATTGCATTTATATTAAGTATATCACAAACTGTAACATAATGAGATGAAAATTAAACAATATTAGATGCAGTATATTTTAGGAGAAAATCTCACTCAGAGGTTTAAAATAACCCAATTAAATCTATGTTAAATTAGAAGACAAGAGTCAGACATATTTCAGAACTGTCTCTAGTTTATTTCAGCAGTCTTCGTCCCAGTAGAGTCTCCATGAGGGGCCTGGGGGGGACATGGTTTCCTAGGTAGAATTGCTGGCCCTCCCACTGGCAAAAATAATTGGAGGCCAGCATTACTGTCCTCAAGATGCTGTGGCACACTCATTTTTTTGGGCTGTGTCTATGCACAGCAGATAATTGGTTGTATTAACTGCACAATAAGAAACAAAAGCATATCAGTGTGTGACTCCAGTGTGTGGATGTAGGGACATAACAGTTTTTTGTTACCTTAGAATGAGTTGCTTATATCTACATTAAGGCAGGTCCTCTTCTAGAGAGTCCACCATGTTGTTCTACAGTAGCCCAGGATGGACAAACCAACCACTGGTTCTAGATAGGGCAATTTGTGTTTTTGCGTCTGCCACCATTTTACTACACGTTTGGCACACAGGAGAAGTTTCAGTGGTGCAACCTCACCACCAGATGCCACTAGATCCCACAAACTAGACCTTAAACTCTCCGTATTGACAGAGTCTTCAACTAGCCTATATAGACTACTAAAACAGTATAATCAAATTCCTGAAACTCAGTGAGACTTTTGGTTTTGGTGAGGCACTCCAAGATTTGCAGTGGCCCCATCTGACCACCCCTAGGAGACCATAAGAAGAATATATATCACTTTTTTCAAACACTTTAAAATTGAAAATAAATATTTTATTAGTCCTTGAACACAAAATGACCATAAAATTCTGCAGGAAATGAAATAGTTGATGGTGAAAAGATGTGGTTACCTCACAGTACCTAAGATTTCTAGTTTTAAATTCTCATTTTCTTGTCTTTATTCTGTTTTCCGATGGTGCTTTCAAGACAACCACTTTCTCCTTACTAACTTTCTTGCATTTTTAGCCTCTCCATGATAGAGGATGTTGTTATCTGTATACAAGCAGGCTAAAAAGCCTTGTTCTTGAGCTATAAAAGAAAATGATAAAGCACTGCAGTATTTTGCACTGTGATATATTTCCTTTCTCCTCGGTCTCTGTTCTTATTATCTAGTTTTCTTGTGCCTCTGTTGTGTGAGCAGTTCTGCAGCTCTGCTGATTGTTGCCTTGGTTGTTGATAAAAGTTACAGATTGCTTATTTTCTCCCTCAGTCGCACCTGTAGCCTCTGTTTAAAACAAACAAGACAGCAATAGAGCGGTTATTGTTAAGCCTGTGTCTTATTGTGGCCATCATTCTGACCTGAAATACTTGGATCTCGTGACCTTGCCTGGACTTGTCTTCAAGACCTTGACACTTGGACTGGGACTTGTCTCTTAATTTGATGTGAGACTTACTTTGACAAGCCTGATACTTAACTCGGTTATGTCTCAAATGACCTGTTACTTGACTTTATATTGTCTCGGTTGACTTTGACATGTCTTTATTGATTTTGGACTTGACTGAAAACCTACTCTAACAGACATGAGACTTGACTTGAACTTTTTTTTGATTGGTTTGACTGAAACTTGACTCCCACTTGTCTCATTTGTCTTTGATTTGTTGCCATTAGTGTTAAACTTGACTTGAGACTTACCTTGAGAAACTCAGACTTGTCTAAATTGAAGCAGTTATATAATAGTGATGAACTGCTGTAGCTGACTTGCTTCTTCTCCTCCAGCCTCTGAAGCTGCACTGCGAGCTCTGCAGCATCGTGTCCAGCTCTGGTCAGATGTTGGGCCAGGCTGCCGGCCCACAGATCGACCGCTCTCCCTGCATCTGGCGGATGAACAACGCTCCCACACGGGGCTTTGAACATGACGTGGGCCAGCGGACCACGCTCAGAGTCGTCTCACACACCAGCGTCCCCCTGCTCCTGCAGAAGCCCCAGTACTTCTTCGGCCAGGGCAACGACACCGTCTACGTTGTGTGGGGGCCACTACGAAACATGAGGAAGGACGGGAAGGGCATCGTGTATAACATGCTGCGACAGGCAGCTGAGAACTACCCTCATGCACGCATCTATGTCACCACAGAGGACAGGATGAACTACTGCGACATGATTTTCAAGAAGGAGACGGGAAAGGACAGGTGAGTCCATTTTTTGGCATCATTACATTCCACAGCAGACCTCCAATTTTTCTCTCTGACAGATTTACCGCTCAGTACTTTGACATCCACTGTTCTGCTCGCTGCTATAATATCGACCTTATCGATGCGGATGGTGTGCGCAACGCTCTGTGCTTTCCTTGTCTCAAATCCTCCCTTTCATGAAGCCTTATCAAAGTGAGTTACTTAACTTTCCCTCTGAAGACACTCAACACGGCACTGGAGGCCATTTTCTAAAGAAAAGCTTTTATGGGGAGCCTCAGAAGCATGCACAGCCTGGGTTATAGACATCAGCCAAATGCCGGTCTGGGGAAAATTCGGTTAATGAGGTAGCATGATTCTGGCAGTCTTTCTAAACACTCTAGTTGCATCTAGTCTCACAACTTCTCTGACAGCATTTTGGCGCATTTTGAATTAGGAAAAACCAAAATTATTCAAGCTACAGATCAGTAACCTGGAAAGTTGGAGAGAGAATGTGTTTGTTGGAGGCATTTGGCAACAACATATGCTAAAATTTCACTGTGTTTTTTTAAGACAGACCCACCTAGCATTTCCTTTCTCTATCAACTCCCTATAGAGAATTGTAGGTTAATGACTATAGCAACCAGGCTCCAGGCTCGCTATTGTTTAAGACGAACCTCATTTCTCAGACCAGCCTCTGCTCATTTCCACAGAGCTCTACACTCCTGCCTCTCCCTCATGTCATCAAGACCTCTCTTAACTTCTTAAGAGGATTAACATGTTCGGTAATAGGCGTAGCATCCAGTCCATTCCAGCTCCATTGTCTTGCTCTTATTCAGGATGGCAGGGTTAACACTGAATTTCATGTAGAGCGTCCATGTTCAGCCTGGCTCAGCTGAGGCCCACGACACACAGATAGAGACGTGGGATTAGGGAGGTATGCTTGGAGAGAAGAATCTCATTACAGCACATAATGCTCCTGGGAGTGATGCAGCGCTTCAATCATTACTGATTGGTAACAGAGACAGAAATTCGAGGTGTGAACAATGAGCCCCATCTAATGAATATGTGACGAGCTCTGAGAGGTTTCTCCCTGTCTGTTTCCGTGCCTGTCCGTCATTATTTGTGTTTGTCTGAAACTTGGCTGCACGTATTGAGAGGTACTAGGTGTCCATGGTAACGGCTTTTAAATTAGCTTGAAAGACAGCAGTAACACAGTATATTTTCATTTAATCAGAGAGAAAGAGGAGGTTGAGTGACTATTATTATTATGTTGAGCTTATACAGTATGGTGTGATTCCAGAAATACACTGCAGCTCTTTATATTCTCAGCCATGAAAAATAGTTTTCTTAAAGTCCAGAGCAATGCAACACCCTCAAAATTCTAAAACAATAAAAGTTGTTGATTTATTTTCCCTGCTTTTCCATGCAAGCTACATTTATTAATGTCGTAAAGTTCATAACAACAAAACGCAGTCTTAAAACACTCTTACTGGAGCAGCTCGTCTGCCTTTACCCTGTCATTTGTGTGTGTGTGTGTGTGTGTCTCTGTTCACTGGTTTATTGTCACCTCTTGCTGCACGGTGATGGGGGATAATCATCAGCTTGGCGGAGATGGAACAGTGATCGAACACAACTCTAATTATCCAGATTGCCGGGAGCAGCAGAGGAGACGCAGCCGCCTCAGTTTCGACTTGCTGATCAGGCGGAACGCAGCGCCGGCTGACTGGCTCGCCAGTCAACTGAGTAACCATCTCTCAGCCTGTAATTTAAAACCACACGTAAAGAATCTAAAGCTCATTCATTGTGGACAGAAATGAGGAAGATAAACAAAAGGAGACTCAGGGGTGGCGGGGTTGTGATGATCTAAGCAGGGCTGAAGTAGCCTGAGTTCACCCCATGACCAGATGAGCTGATTTCATGAGGTGCAGCTTGAAAAGGCCAAATGAGATGATCAAGGGCTTTTCAAGACCCAGAAGGAACTAATAAACATCCACAAGCTGCGTCCAAATGCCATACTACATACTAATTCTACACAGATTATGTTGTGTATGTCGTATGTTCATATTGGAAAAGTGATAAATTCAAATATACTGGAAATGATTGTTATGGCAAATCCAATACTATACACCTGGGATACTCAATTTGCTTTGCCTGGAGGCCACTTTGCAAAATGACAGAGGGCCAGGGGCCAGTTGCAGCAGCTTGCAGAGTTCAGGTGTATGCAGACTTTGAGGACATTCAGGGCTTAGCCTGGACCTTTGTCAGAGGAGCTGGGAGACAGCCAAGTACATGCAGGCTGCAGTTTGCAGAACGGTAATGGCCGCTCCTGCTCCCTAGCAGAGTAAACACAGCAATAAGTGAAGTTATTGCAGAAATAGAGTCAATAACAACAATTAAACAAGAACAATAATATGCACACGCAGAGTTTCTTGGAAGAAAAGACGTTTTCACCGTTCTTCCAGCTGGATTTGGCGAAAAACTTGATTCATCAACTGGCTCCATTTGGGATTGAAGATGTTCCCTGGTGTTTTGTTATGCTAATTGGCTGAAGGAGTTTGTCTGTCAAGGCCAGTATCCCCGTTCACTGAAAGTGTTTGGAGTGGCAGCGGGACCAGACTGACACAGAGAGCAAAAAAGAATGTTGAGCTCATCATGATGTTTATACCAGGCCAGCTAGTAGAGCCACCCCCGCTTGCTTTGATGTGTTTTAATGCACTCTGGTACCTTATTTATGTTCAGCATACAAGAAGAAGTTCCCAGTGTGAATTAATTTATTTTCATTGTGAAATAGAAAATGGTTGGCAGGCCACCCAGCACCCTGTCTGGCCCACGGGCTGCAAGTTGAGTATCATTGCAAAACACTAATAGGCCTTTTTCACAGCTAAAATTTCGACTCGTTATATTAGAAAACAGCGCAGATATTGGAGTAAAGGAGAGAGAACTTAAAAAACTGTCTTGGGCAAAGCGCTACAGTCCGTTGCTTCACATTAAAAACATCACAAAAATAAACATGTTTGACTGCTCTAAATATATGTACTATATATTATTAGTGTGTAATATGGAATTGAGTGGGTCTTCTGAATAACAGTAATGTGTAATGAGTTTCTTAGGATGTACAGAGATAAATCTGCAGGGGCTCTAAACTCGGTAACAGCCAGTTATTGAATAAACAGTAGATTCAACATAATTACATACACAGGATTCTGTGGGTGAAAACAGTCTTTGTGTTCTGGCAGGGAAACGTATGTGTTTATGTATCTGCAAACAAAGAGGGAGAGAGGTGTATCTTGATGACTCAGCTGTCTAGCAACACATCATCACATTGACGTTCAGGGACTTGCTGTCTCTTGCCTTGTCCATCTAGTCATCCTTTTCTGTGAACTGCTCAGACAAAAGCCAAAACAAAACACCATCGTTTAAAAAGAGATAGGCCGTTAACATTTGTATCAACATCTAACAGGAGCCAAGACAATGAAAAGTCTGACCACAGCCCTGGATGTAAACGTATTTGACAGCAGCTTAAACACATGATTCATGTGATTGCGCACTGCGGCTGGAAGTTGCACGGGCTGAACCTATCCATTATCAGCGCTACCTCCTGAGCTGCAGTCGCTGGCTGTCGGACCATATCGGCGCGGCCCTGTTAGCGGTGGTAGATAACAGACCTTACGACGACACGGGACTTAAATCACAGTGTCACTTTACAGCACTGCCACCTGGGCCTGCGTGACCTGCTTCCCAGCCAGCTGCTCCTTCATAGCATGTGTATGCACTGAGGTTTGCGTGGATGTGTGTGCTTTCACAGGACTGACACTGTCCCTCTGTTTATGATAGTGTGTGGACAGTTTTATTTATCCCTCTGAGCACCTGTTCATTCCTGTGGTCTTTTTAACCTTTAGAAAGGTCTTAACAACCGGCATACATTTTTCATTATACTCTTGGTCAGTCACACTGGATGCATTTTCAACCAAACATGCTTTACACGCAAGGCTTTTAAACAACAGTTTTACACCTGTATTTTTTGTCTGCAGTTGTCTTATTCTTTAATGTTTCACTGTGAAACACGGGGATGTCATAACACTTACATGATAGGCAGATTAATCCATATTGAAAAGAATCAGCTACAGTCCTGTAGAAAGTAGTATAACATGTTTTTTTGCATCAAGTACTTTTATTTTGAATACTTTTAAGTAGATTGTCCTGATTATACTTACATTCTTAGGTAACATTTTCAATACTGGACTCTCATGTATTAGTACTTTTACTTAAAGGTCCAGTATGTAGGATTCAGGGGGCCATATTGGCAGAAATTGAATATAATAAGTATGTTTTCTTTAGTGTATAATCACCTGAAAATAAGAATCGTTTTCGTTACTTTAGAATGAGCCGTTGAGCGATGACCTGTCAATGCAGCGATCCATCAGCACACACCGTTACCTCAGGGTAGGACACCTCCCAGATACTGAACTGGCCAATGAACAGAATGTATCATTTAATTTCCTGCACGATCAATAAGGACGCCACAATATTGTTACACATCAAATAGTTTACTCACAATGCAGCAAGAGTATCCCCGGTTACAATCAGCACAGGGCCGGTAACTTCAGTCAGCATGCAGCTCCTGTTTTCACACTAAACGATGACACAGTTTACCCTCACCGACAGCCTTTTTCAGTCACCACACAGAGTGCACCAGCCCGACGTGGAGGGTGACAAAGGAGATTGAGACAACTGCTGCCCTCCAGCAGGTGCCTCTTATCACCTAATTACTGTCCATGCACCACATTACAGGTCATAGGGCCATTCATGTTTTCACATTTTCGTGTTTTTGTGTCGGCTATCGTAGCTAGCAGCCCCTCCCTCGACAAACAGGTTCTTGGCTATTGGCCTGTCTGTGACGTGACAAACAATCACACTTACACAACTACTTGTAACGTAAAACTGCTTATTACATTTTTTGGGGGGGGGTTTTGACCAGGTTTAATCATCTGAGAAGAGACCTCTGCAAATGATTTGGC